TAAGCATTGCAAATAAGGCTGGCCAAGGTACTGATATGTAATTTCTAGAGCCAACAGACAGTCCTGTTTCCTTGTATATTGTTTTCTGTATAGGATATGTACAGGATATGAGCACAGTGGGATGTTAGAGCCAATAGATCCGGGAATGTCAACTGGGTGTGAGCCTCAAGGTAAAGAGGCTATGACTCTCCAGGGCACAAGAGTTTGCCTATCAGAAACCAAAGTGACAGCTCCCAAAACAATTCTATTGCTACCCTAATTAGATTATATTGATTGATCCTTCTGCATATCTCTTTTTTTTACCTGGCCAGCCAGCTCAAGTTGCTCACATAATTCCTTCATGTGAATTGCATTAATGGTGGTGGTGGTAGATTAAAATTAACTTACTGATATTCCAATGACGTCTCAATGGGATTATAAATATAACTTTTTAGATTGAAAAAAAAACTAAAAAGAGGATAATACTTAGATGACTGTACACAGTATTTGGGATTACAATAATATTCACTGGGAAATATTGCCAAATAAAGCTGACACATAGGTATCTTAAGATTCATATTCTATAAACACTAACAACCAATGATTTTCCTTATTATATCAATATTTGCCCATGGCAATTATCTGATGATTAAATGATTCTATAATTTTACTAATATCCCATTATGTGAAAAAAATATTTATGAGTTCATTTTTCTTTCTTTCTTTTTTATTTTTGTCTTTTTGAGACAGGATCTCGCTGTGCAGTTCAGGTTGGCCTTGAGCTCACTTTGTAGCCTAGGCTGGTCTCAAACTTGCAACAATCCTCCTGCCTCAGTCTCCCGTGTGAGCCACCACGCCCAGCCTGAGTATGAGTTTCTTAGCTGAACAAGACATCAACAGAATCCAGGCACTGTAATCCCAGTGCTCTGGGAGGCTGAGGCAGGAAGATCAAACGCCCAGCCCAGGTAACTTAGCAAGATTCTGTCTAAAAATAAAAAACAAAACCAGTTGGTAGCAGGATGTAAATTCAACACTCAAAAACCAATGGCATTTCTGTACAAGAATAACAGGCTCATTGAGACAAAAATTAGGGAAACATTTTTCACAATAGTATCAAGAAAAATGAAATACTTTGGAATCAAACTAGTGAAGTGAAAGACGTTTTGAAAACTACAGTACTCTAAACGAGATAGAAGGTATCAGCCAATAAAAAAGGAATGATATCTCCTATTATTAGATAGGCAGTAAAAAAATACTTCTAAAAATGTTATACAGATTCATTGCAGTCCCAATCAAAATACTTTTTTTTTGTTGTTCTGGGGATTGAACTTACAACCTTGCACTTGCCAGGCAGGTGCTTATGCTGCTGAGCTAAATCCCCAGCCCTCAAAATACCAATAGTATACCTCACAGAACTAGAAAAACCAATCCTAAATTTAATATGGAACCAGAATAATTCTGGGGAACAAAAGCAAAGCAGGGAGCATTACAACTTCTGACATGAAGTTATATTACAAAGCTACTGTGATGAAAACAGCATGACACTGGCAAAAAAATAGACTTCATGAACAAAAGACTTCATGAACAAAACCTCATTGCACAGGCAATATTACAAAGAATCAACAACTGGGATCACACCAAATTGAAAACTTCTGCACAGCCAAAGAAATCACCAACAGGGTGAAAAGACAACCCACAAAAAAAATTTTACCAACTACCTCTCAGACAAAAGACTAACATTTGGAATATATAGAGAACTTTTAAAAAATCACACCTCCCAACTTTAATGCCAATCCAAAATGCCAATCCAAAAATGGGCATTTGAAATGAATAGATGTTTCTCAGATGAAGTACAAAAACACAAATATATAAAAAGTTCTCAACATCACTGGTCATTTGAGAAATACAAATTAAAATAACACCAAGATTCGATCTCACTCCAGAAAGAATGGTTATCATCAAGAAGTCAACTAACAGTGCTGGAGGGGCTGTGGGGAAAAATGAACCCTTCTCCATTACTGGGGGAGTAAAAACTGCTACAATAACTATGGAAATCAATGTGCAGATTCCTCGAAAACCAGGACTAGAGGTCCCATTCGACCCAGCTAGTCCTGTTCTTGGTATCTTTCTGAAATAATTAAAAGCATCATATCACAGTGATACACGCACACCCATGTTTATAGCAGCACAGTTTTTAATAGCAACATCTTGGAAACAGCCCAAGTGCCAATCAACTGAAGAGGGGACAAAGAAGAGTGTGTGTGTGTGTGTGTGTGTGTGTGTGTGTGTGTGTGTGTGTCTGTGTGTTAATATAATGGAGTACTACTCTACCATAAAGGATAACCTTGTAAGTCCCTGCCTGGCAAGCACAAGATTGTGAGTTTGATCCCCAGTACCAAAAATAAATAAATAAATAAATAAAAACCTTAAGACATTTATAGCTAAATGGATGCACCTTAGGAGCATACTCTTAAGTGAAATACAAGAGATATGTGTAAATACTGCATTGTTTCTCTGCCATGAGGAACTAAAAGTATAAACAAGGACCAAAATACATACTCATGTTTATGATATCACAATTTATAACAACTAAACATTGGAACCAGCCCATACTCCATCAAAAATGAATAGATAATGGAAATGTGGTATTTATATATGGTGGAATACTACTTTGCCATAAAGATAAACTTGAATTATTTGTAGGAAATACTTGAACCTTGAGACCATAATTTAAGTGAACTAAATTAGGTACACAAGTTTCAGCCTCGCAGTTTCTCTTGTGTGAGAAACCCGAAGGCTGAATAAGGAGTGTGGGGGAGCACAGAGCTTGGAAAATAGGGAGAACATATTCAAATGCAAAGGGGTAAGGGGGGGACGGTGGGGGAGGGAACGGGGTAAAGAAACAACAGAAACAAAGTTTGGTAAAGGGAGGGATGGTTGAAGGGAAGGGAAGAAAATAAGAAAAAAGACAACATGTATTATGTACACCTGGTTCCTTAGGATAACTGTGATCATATGTATGGCAAATATGTGCTAATAAGAAACTTTTTAAAAAAAGAGCGGCGGACATGGATCATTATGAAGACTCTGGCCCTGAGTCTAATCCCTGACCAGGAGGGAGAGGAAGAGAGGGTGAGAGAGGGAGAAAAACTTCAGAGTCCAGCTCTGCAAGGCTCCAGCCTTCAGAAGTTGTGCATTTGCCCTTTCATAATGTTGTAGGGTTTCCCAATCTGAAATACAGTTTCAAGATGCCGTAACCAAGTGCATGTAATTTTCATCACGGTACATATGCGCCACGATTTTAATACCTGTTTCATTTTACTGATTTATTTTTTGAGATAGGGCCTGGCTATGTAGTCCAGGCTGCACTTAAACTGTGTAGTGCGGGTTAGCCTTCACCTCCCAATCCTCCTGCCTCAGCCTCCCAAACGCTAAGATCACGTGTGTACTCTAACATGCCCAGTTTCTGAATATTTGTTGCTGTTGTTTTTGAGACAAGGTCTCGCCTTGTAGTTCAGGTCAACCCTGGCCCTGAACTCACTACGTAGCCCATGCTGGCCTTCAACTCACAGTGAGCCTCTTGAGTACTGGGATTAGTGTGTGCCACCACACCAGGCAGAACAGTTGTTTTTAGATAATATTCTAAATTGTTATCCATTTTGGAAGAAGACAAAAGAGACATAAACCGAAACAGCTAACCAAAAGCAGAAAAGGTCTGAGGAAGAAAAGCACTTAGACGTTATATTACAACTCTGGAAACCTAGTCACCATCGATACATAAGTAGAAGCTCTTCAATCTTTTTTGCATTGACATTAAAGATGTTTTCCTAATTACACAATAAATCTACACTTGTTTCTGTTCCAGTGTTGACTATGCATCATCGCAAGCGCAGTTCAACAGTTTCTCAACAAGGTATCAAAGCAGTACAGTAATTGAAGATTTGCCATGTAGTCAGATAATCCTGGGGACAGCCTGGCACTGACACGTCCTAGTCATAATGACCTCAGGTAAATTAGTCTTAGTTTCTTCCTCTGTAAAATGAGGGTAACAGTATCTACCTCCTAACAATGCTGGAGGGATTAAGTAATCCACACAAAACCCCAAGCCTAGTCCACAGCACACAGCCCAGCAAGCAAGTAGAATAAGGACCCCTCACAGATGTCCACAATCTTAATACCCAGGCTCTGTGAGTGTGTGGTATTACAAGGCAGGGGCTATTAAAGCTGTAGGTAGAATTAAATCTGCTAAACAGCTGGTTTTAAAATGGGAAGATTTTCCCCACAGTGCAGTCATCCCAATGTAATCACGGAGGTCGTGGTGCGTAAAAGAGGAGGCAGGAGAACCTCAAAATAACAAAGTACAGAAGACACTAGCTGGGTCCAGGGATATAGTTCAGTGGTGTAAGCGCCTGCCTGGCAAACGCGAGGTTGTGAGTTCAAGCCCCTGTCCAAAGCCCCCTAGGCATGGTGACCCAGGCCTGCAATCCTGGCACTTGAGAGATTGAGGCCTGAAAGATCACTGTGAATTCAGGGCCAGCCTGGGCTACAAAGTGAGCTCAAGGCCAGCCTGAACTGCATAATGAGATCTTGTATCAAAAAGACATAAAATAAGAAATAAATAAACCACCAAATTTGTGATAATTTGGAATAACAGTAGTAGGAAACTAATGTGTGACACTGATTGCTTACTATCAGCATGCATTAATAATAATTTCCCTGTCAATTAAAACCTACTTTTTAGTAGACTTAGTCGCTAGGCATGGTGGTACACACCTGTAATTCCAGCACTTGGGAGGTTGAGGCAGGAGGAATGCCCTGAGTTCAAGGCCACCCTGAACTACGCAGAGAACTCAGGGCCAGCCTGAACTACAAAGCAAGACCCTGTCTCTCTCTCTCTCTCTCTCTCTCTCACACACACACACACACACACACACACACACAAAAGCCCGAAGGATGTCAGTTAGCAATAACTTAGTGAAAATTAGTACAATGGTTAGTTGAATCAATTTGACAAAATAATCTAAATTGAAAGAGATTTTATTTTTGAGATTGGATCTGGCTATGTTGCTCAGGCTGGCCTTGAACTCCTACGCTCATGTGATCTTCCCACCTCAGCCTCTCAAGGACCCGACACCACAGGCACATGCCACTAAACCCATCTGGTTCACTGTGTTTTATCTTTAATGATTTACCAAAAAAAAAAAAAAAAAAAGAGTGTCCCAAGTATAATTGTCATTATTCTGGTGAATAAAAAAATCACATGATAAAATAAACAATCAATCACATTGCTAAATAATATAGCACAAAAATGATAATATAACACAAAAATATCATGCTAGGGAAAACTATAAAAAATAGCATGTTCTATATTTATATGAAGTTCAGTCACTGTATTCAACTTGACAAATAAAAGGAAGATTTTGTTAAGTGTGCTTCCCATTGGTAATAACATTTTTACCGAGTAAAGAACTGAGTTTTACATTTATTTGGTATCAGGAGATCAAACTCATAACCTTGTGCTTACCAGGCAGGCACTGTGGCACTGAGCTTTATCCCCAGCCCTACTTACATTTTCTAGAATACTTTTCTAATTCTGAAATGACAAACTTTTTTTTTAATTTTAAAAAGGGGTAAAATTAAACATCACAAAACAGAACAAAATAGGACACAAGAAAGCAATGTAAGAGATACAAATTTCAAAGCTAGCCGACCTGAGATCTTCACTGTCTATCATATTGTCTCTTGTTTTCTTCCAAATAGTTGTCTATGTCTTTGCATATAGAGAATACATACAAAACAACATAGTATAAAACTATGCATATAGAGAATACATACAAAAAACATAGTATAAAACATAGATCCAAACTGAATGAGGAAGGAGTTTTAAAACCAGACAACAGGGAAGTCACTAATGGCTATTGTAGAGTCTCCCGTTCTCTTCAAAACAGCTGTCCATACTTTCATGTATACTGAAGTCTAACGAAACAAAATAGGCAGGGGGGAGGGGTTGCTTGGTTTCCCAGCGCTCCAGGTCCCAGCATGGCACAGGGCCCAGTAAATGTCGGTGGCTCCCATCCTGGGCGACCGTAGCCTGCCATGCTCACAGCTGCTTAAGGGGGGTGGGATGGGTTGCTTCAAGCTGTTTCTTTCTAATAAATTGACCATTTCACTGCCCAAGTTCTGAAATGGCCAACAGACCATAGAAAGACATCTCTTTAGGCTCCTGCTTGAAACCAACAGCGTCAAGAAGCTGCTGGCCTTGACTCAGAGCCAGTCAAACATTTGATCTGTCAAAAAAAAAACCTTTTGAGAGGGAAGTAGTTGTGTTTAATTTTAGATTTTGAAAGATATTTACTAAATCATGCACTTTATAGTTTTTATTTTTAGTATAACTGTCAACTATATATACACACACATATACATATATTGTTTCAGCTTCTCACATTATTGAGACACTACAATGTTTACATATGCATGTCTGATTTATTTCACTTATAAGTAAGGTCTCAATTTGCATCAATTTACCTATAGAAGCCTCAAGTTTGTCCTTTATGGCTTAGTAGTACTCCATTGTATAAAAGTACCACATCTTTTTATCAATACCTTAGTCAATAAGGCATTTAGGTTGTTTTTAAGATCTGTCTATCACAAATCCAGCTGCTATTCATGTATGTATGTTGCTGTGTGTAGTGGAGTGGTAGTGGAGTGGTAACTGGTGGTCAATTTAAACACCAGCTGAACTGAATCAGCATGGTGCTGAGTGTGGACGGGCCAGCTGAGGTCTGTTGCCAGCATAAAAAGGAGACCTGGAGAGGAGGGGTGGCCCTGTGAGTTCTCCTAAGTGAATGCTGTTGTTTGGGGCTGCTGGTTTTCCCAGAGCAGTTTGCCATGCTGGCCTCCCTGATATGAACTCGGCTGTTATCATCGGTGGAGCTCAGGGTCTTGTTGCTGAGAATGGCTGCGGTTCACTTTGGGGGAGCTCTGGTTCTCACTTTGAGCTTCGCTTCCTGGCTTTGTGGGGAAGATGTGAGCTGCTCAGTCTCCAGGGGAAGTTTGTCATGCTGGCTTCCTGATATGTACTCAGCTGTTCTTACCATCAGAGGAGCTCAGAACCTCATTGTTGCTGAGGATGGCTGTGGAACTTTTCAGGAGAGCCCTGGTCCTTATTCTGAGCATTGCTTCTTGGCTCTAGTATAGAATCCTTGGCCTGCTGGCACGGCTCCTTCACCCCGCTGACACTTACTTTCTAGCTTCTAGAGGCAAAGGCTGACCTTTGGGCCTTCCCAGCGCAGATCCGTGAAATAGACTTGTGTGAGTCATTATTATGGGCTCTAGGTTTTCATCTGAACTCATAGGTTATTATGGGATCCAGGCCCTTGGCTGGATTGTCTAGGTCTTTAGTGTGTGGACAGATTTCCTCCACTTTCTATTTGACTCCTTGGGTGACTGCTATAAATAATACTATAAATTATGTGTCCTATATGTCATTGCTTTCCTCGAAACCCCTGACTACAACATTGTGATACACTGTTTTTTTCTGGGAAGATACTGAGAAGGAATAGCTGGGTCAAATGGGACCTCCAGTTCTAGTTATTTGAGACATTTCCACACTGATTGCACCAGTCTACACTCCCACCAACAGTGGAGAAGAGATCCTTTTCCCCAAAGCCCCTCCAGCATTTGTTATTAGTGATAATAACCATTCTTTCTGGGATCAGGTGGAATCTCAGTGTTGTTTTAATTTGCATCTCTCAAACGACCCAGTAATGTTGAATATTTTTTTCATATATTTATTTGCTGTTTGTACTTCTTCATCTGAGAAGTGTGTATTCATCTGATACCCATTTTTTTTTTTTTGTCTTTTTCATTTTTATTGGTACCAGTGATGGAACTCACGACCGCCTGCTTGCAAGGCAGGTGCTTATGCCACTGAACTAAATCCCCAGCCCCGATACCCATTTTGGATTGGGTACTTAAATCTGGGAAATCTGGTATTTTTGAGTTGTTTATACGTTCTCAGTAGTAATCCTTTGTCTAAGGAACAGCTGGCAAACATTTTCTTCTACATTGTGGGATGTCTCTTCATTCTATTGTTTTTTTTTTTTTTTTTGTCTTTTTCCTTTTTATCGGTACCAGGGATTGAACTTACAAGTGCCTGCTTGCAAGGCAGGCGCTTATGCCGCTGAGCTAAATCCCCAGCCTCTTTTATTGGTTTCTCTTGTATAACTAGCTTTCAATGAAATGGGTAGAAGACACACTATATAACTCTTACAATTTCTAAAATGTCTAAATGATAATAACACCTAAGTAATAACAGCTACAGAATTTATGAGTTCAGGGAAAAATAAAAATGTGAGCCCCTTGTTTGAAATTTGGTGGGTTTTTTGAGACAGGGTCTCACTGTGTAGCTTGGGCTGGCCTTGAGTTCACAGCAGTCCTCCTGCCTCAGCCTCCCAAGTGCTGGGATTATAGTAATGTGCCACCAGACCTGGCTAGAAATCTTCAAGACTGCATCACAATACTAAGCTAAGTGTGTGAAGCCTTTCTAAGGGTGGGGAGCCCTATATGCCTGCAGTCTCACCACCTGGAAAGCCAGCCCTAAATCCATCTCAACTGCCACTATGGAAACCAAGACTTTAGTTATCTTCGTATCTTGAGTCCCTAATTCTACACCAGCGTTTCAAATGTTCATTCAGTGAAAACAGTTCATTTGCAGCTTTCCAAATCAGTGATAAATGTTTAGTCACTTGTGGTCAGAATAAACCTTAGCGCAGTGAAGACAATCTGTTAATTATAATACCTTGGTTGTTGGACAGCTCCAAGCTCAAATGGTCCACTACTTGATCCGCAAAGCTAAATAACACAATTGCTTGCTGTTTGGAACTTTGAGTGACAGTTGAGCCAAAACTCTGCCTTGAAAAGCCTTGCAGGTGTCAAGAATGAGCCACACATTTGTCTTGCACACCAGGGTGACACTTCCATCTCAGTGCTGCTCTCACCCAGACAACATGTTCTGTATTGTTTGCCATTATTTATGGGAAAAATACATACAGTTCTCAAACTTTTCCGTGTCTGGACATGAAGTTGGAATGACCTGAGTTCAACAACTGAGGTATCACTGTAAATGATGGATCCCTCTCAAACATTTGCACATCACATTCTAGCTTCAGGGGAGCTTGAGGCCATTGTGAGGTTCATTTAACAAATATTTATTGAGCAACTACTGTATTCGGTCCTGTATCAGGCACTGGGAATACAAGAGTAAATAAGATAGTCCCTGCCCTCCAGGAGCTTACAGTCTAGCATAAGAACTTATAGCACCTTAGAATCTACTGAGAAAACTTTCTGGGTACCTAGCATAGTATTTGGAATATTCCAAGTTTCCTGAAAATATGAATCTAAAATTTACCAGAAAGTACAGCTTAGAAATGAAGGATGCAGCGAAATTTCAGAGAAAATTCAAATATTCACTCTTCAGTGTAAAAACTATGGAATCTAAATGAGGAAGAAACTTAGAAGAAAAATTCAACCTATTTTAAAGACTTTGGACCAGATTTAAATTTTAAAAATTATTTTATTATCTCTGGGTAACACTTTCATTTATAGTGACATTTACATACACATATAGGAGGTGTGTGTATGTACACTGTGCTCCTTGGGGCTTCTGACAAATCCCATATATCCCTATCATTAATTCATTTTCAACTAACGAGAGCAGCATAAAGGTAAATCAGACACTTTTCTTTCAATAATTTCCATTATCACTTCAATGGAAAAAACCCTTAGACCCCTTAGAACATCATTTAGAATCATCTCTAGGTTATAAATTTTAGTACAATTTTATTCTACAATTCTAACTTGTCTTTGTAACAACATGTGATAATTTAAGCATATACTTTAATGGTTATTGTCAGAGTTTATGGCATCTAAAATAATCTTAAATCTATCTGAATTTTTCTTTTTCCCGTACTCTTCTTTTTCTTAAAAGCGTAAGATTCCTGTGCAAATAAAGACCTTCTGCTGTTGCTTTGCTGTACTTTGGTGCACTGCTCTTTCTTTCTTAGTCTAGCAGCATCCTTCCTTAGTTTCTAGTATCGTACTGAAGTTGCAACTGAAAAATCATGAGCCTAAGCTTTAGCTGGGATCTTTTATTAACCAGAAGGTAAGTGGGAAGTAACCGAGGGTCTGCCTCACACACTATGCACCTAGGTTGTCCAGCTCAGTGTCAGTGCAGACTCTGAGCAGGTAGGGTTATCTTATGTCCCAGCTCCTAACTGATGAACACAGCACATCAGAAGAAAAGTGTTAAAGGCAGGAATGTTGACAGAACACGCTACTGAGCAGATATTAAAATATGAAGAAATTAGTAACTGAAGGCAAACTAGTATATATACCTCAAATTTGAGGGAATCACTTAAGATACTAACTCACACTTGTTATAGCCCTTTATATTTTATGAAATGCTTATATAGTCAGAACTCACTGGATATTTGTGTTAACACATTATGTATATGACCTGTGAATTATACTGAGCATGCTATTTAAGAAGGCAAGGAGGTATTCGAACATACCTGAAAGACTTGCATCAAAAATAACTACAAGTTTTAAATTTTGGCACTTAAGAGATATGCATCAGCTTTCCAAAATTCATGCATATGGTTTCCTTCATTACCAACACAGGGTGTTATTGAATGGATTTTCATAGCACTCAGTGACTGCTGGTCATTGAATGCAGATGATTGTCATTAGTGAGTTATCAGACTATTTCTCCTGCTAAATGCAAGTTGAACAGATGCTTATAGATGCCAATACCTTATCTTCTGAATAATATGGGAAATTCTAGACTTCTAAAAGACTCAGTGTTTTCCCTATTCTGCACTTTCTAGAGAATATAACCTCAGAAAATATGATGTGATCTTTGTTCTAAATAGGAGCAGGGAACATGTGATTTATCGTTTCCTTGGTTTCCTAAAATTTTTGGTATCGCCTCTTCTCCCTGATGTAATAAAGAAAAATAATGAAATATACATATGCTTTGGGCTGCTGATCAAAAAAAAAAAAAAGATCACACATACTTTTAAAAGACTAAAATAGAATTCTCTTCTGCTTTCGCCACTTCTTTTCATAACTGAAAACTAAGGAACTACAGTGTGATTGATGTAACAAACTCATTCAACCCAGCATTCTCATAAATACACTGTTTTGGAAAACACTTTTTAAATCATGAGACAATTTATACTCTATATATAATACTATTTACCAATTAGACTTACCAATTATCATGGATAAAAATGACAATAAAATTTACAGTAAAAAGTCTACTCTGTGATGTTGGAATGTATAATTTCTTCCAACAGTATCCCACTCCTATTCCCTTTCATCCCCTGACAATATTCCCTAACGCCTTTTTTTTATCATGAGCATAACACGAGGAGGGCAAAGGTTTTTGCTGTTGTTGTTGATTTCGCTGTTTGTTAATTTTTAATGTGCATCTGTGTATTTTTATGCTACTTCTCCATTTTCTTTTCTATTTCATAGGTGGTTATAATGCTTGAGGGTTTTTTAAAATTAGGAATGGAGCTGGGGATTTAGCTCAGTGGCATAAGTGCCTGCCTGGCAAGCACGAGGTCATGAGTTTGATCCCCATACCAAAAATAAATAAATAAATACATAAATAAATAAAATTAGGAATGGACTATCTGGTTGCCCTAAGTTTATGGTAATCATTCTTACGGAAACTACCGTCTTATAAGTATTCTTTCACATGGTACAGAAAGTAAGTAAGGTCAGTGTTATACAACTAAAAACGAAACCTTTCAGAAGATACTGAACAAGGAAATGAATAGGTCAGTTTACCATCCTTTACAAACTAAGATCAGAAACAGTATACTAACCAGTTTTAGATTCAAACAAACAAACATCGTTTTGGATTCCAGTGTGGCTACCCACTGCTAATTCTAACTTCGGGCCAGTCATACAATCTTTCTGACCCATCATTACCTCCAAAGCAGTTCGGAGCACATTCTGCCTACCATGCCAGGTTTCTGTTAGGGTTAGTAGTAAAGAAAGTACATTAGCCCATTATAGGTGCTCTACAGTGGCTAAAGAATCTCTGCCTGAATTTACAGTTGGGACACATGTGAGTCCAGTATCCTGACACGGGACACTTTCCAAAGTTGATTAATTTTTTGGAATGTCAGCTTGATCACTGTACTTTATAGTGTACTTTTATTGACAACATTCTGTGATGCTTTGTATTTTAAACTTTAAAACTAATATCTTAAATAAGTAGTTTTTTTTTTTAAACAAAGTTTTCTTTGTTTAAGCAAGATTATGTATTCCCTATGCTTTGTGGTAATTTTTCAATGACCTCAAAACTTCCAATTTTTAGGTAAGATGGTGCACTTTAGGTGCACTCTGTCCTATAGCCAATCTTGTTCCATGTGAGATGTGCCTCTATACATGCATGTGAATGGCTGTTCAGAGGGCCTATCAAGAAGCATCATGTAAATTCATGTATTTGAGTTGTTTAAACACTTTCATTAAATATAAAACATTTTCCTTTGCAAGACTGGGAAATTTAGCAACTACTCTTGTGCCTTCCTTTTTCAATCAAGTGGACAGTTTAAGGGTATTTATAATCATACAATTTAAAAGACAAAGTGTTCGTAAGTCATTAACAGCCAACATAATACAATACAATTACCCTGAGCACAGAATTAGGAGGCTTGAATTCGCGTCCTGGCTCTGCCACTAACTGCAGGCTGACCTTAGCCACTTCTCTATTTTGTCAAATAATGCAAATGATACCATTCCAAGTTATTTCCTATATCTAAAATTGCCTTCATTTATTTATTATTTAACTAATTAAACACTTGTGGGTCCTGTATTAAGCACCACATGGGCAGAGATGTATTTACTGAAGTTTAAGGTTATGTTTTTCAAACTGTGATAGAGACCACTTGAATAAAGATTATGTGGGATTCCTGCTAAAAATAGATTCTTGTCCTCTCCCTGCTTGAATCAGAATCTCCTAAAGCAAGGTCCAGGTTTTGCACTTTTCACAAGCTCTTCACAGATTATAATGTATCCTGAAGTTTCAGAACTGTTGGCCTAGCGACTTTGTGACCTAAAAGGGCAAGGCTAGAACATGGCTTAAATTACTCTAGCCTCTGGTACCAATAAAAAAAAAAATTACTCTAAGCCTCCCGCAAGTTCCTTCTAAACACAATCTCCTTCAGTGTGGGTGGAGGCTGGAAGACAGCTACTTATTCAGCAGAGCCTCAGCCTTGTATTTGCCTTTACCTGAAGTTTTACTTGCTGTGTTCCGTAACAAAACACAAAAAATGTATTTATATCATCACCATTGAGCTTTGACACCAAAGTCACTGACTACCAGGGTTTGATAACAGTTTGAAAACAACTGCAGCTTCCCACTCACTAATGGTGAAAGAACTGAGCTTGTGGCCCCTGGCCCGGGAAGAAAGACTGAGCACAATGCTGTATTTTTACTCTTGATTTTCTTTCTATCCCCTACCGATAACAGACCGTCTTGGGTATGGCAGAGAAAATGGAAAATCTAAATCACACTGTTCTCATCATTCTGTGGCCAGATATCATATTAATCTAATAAATAAATCCTCTTCTGTACATCAGAAATGACCAAAGTCCATCCCTTCTCCTTTCCTTTCTAATGCTGTAGACAGGAATAAAATACCAAGTAAGAGCATGTTAGACATTTTAGATTCATACAATTACAAGAAGTAGTAATATTTTCTCTAGATTTTCATAAAATCTCTGCCACATGAAAAAATTATATGACTTTAACAGGAAACAGGGAGATATTCAGTTGTAAGACTGTCTAACAGTTATAATACAATTATGTGTGAGATATACATATATCTCAGCAACTTTACAAGGCTAAACATACTGACAAATGAAGGTGAAATTTCTTTTCCAACAATCTCGGTATGCCAACATTCAGCTTCTGGATTTTATTCAATGCTAGCATCAAGGGTATCTTTTATGCCAACCCAAACTCCTGCCAAATGTCCACAAATTCATACTAAAAACAAAAGAGACAAAGAAGAGAAGGGAAGGACAAAAGAAGGGGGAAAAGGAGAGAACAAGAAAACTTAACAAAGCTACCATGCAAAATAACTGGTGTTCAGTGGCACAGAGCAGCAGGAGTGGAGGAGCGCTGACCAAGACGGTGCTGCGTGGAGTCCAGCTTCGGACGCCGGTTGGACGCTGGTGACCAAGTACTCAGATCACAGGGAGATTCATGGACCCATGTGAACCAGGATCTTGATCAGATCTTCTAAGAAAATACTTCATCTAAATGGAAGTAATTTATCAAGTCCAGTGCCACAACAGTTCCTTATTTGATGTAAATTGTGCCTAAAACTTTGGCTGATACAAAGAGACTCGTCCGCTAAGGCACCCTGAGGCAATCTGACAGTGTGTTGGAGAGAATTTTGTTGTCAGTACCACGTCCTTATGAGAATACAGAGAACGGATCACCCGCAGAGGACTGGCTTCTTTGGGTAAGCAGTCAACAAGTTCACTGCACTGTTTGTCAAATCCCAACAAGCGAATTCCATAGCCATGCGGGGAAGAAATCATTCGCCCATCAGGACTGAAGCAAAGTTCTTTGATGTAACCCCTGCCTACATTGGCTTCTTCAATGTAATGAGTCAGTCGCAGAGAACAGCGAGGTGAGACAAGTCGCACAGGAGCTCCTTCTTGAAATTCATAGACACATGTCCACTAGGGGGACAGAGGAGACAAACCAAGGTTACAGAGCCCCAAATAGTGCTACAGAAATCTCTTATTTTTGAAAGGCTCAACAGATTGCCAATGCCATGTAATTGTTGCAAGAAATCAATCAGATGAATACTACCCCCATTCTGACTAACAAAATTTATAAACTCCAGTGCTGGGTATGGTGGTACAATGCCTGTAATCTTAGCCATTAGGAAACCGAGGCAAGGAGGATCGCCATGAGTTTAAGGTTACCTAGGGTTACACAGTGAATTCAAGGCCAGTCTGAACATACTGAGCCTGTCTCAGTAAACCCCAGAAAACAAAAACCAAACAATTTATAAGCTCCATACTTTGTCTTTACGAACCGAGGTTATTCGGTACTATATTTTAAACTCTGTGATACCTGAGGCAGCCTGTGACTACTATAGTAATACATTTTCTTTCTCAATGACAATTACAATCTTGAGATATTAAAAATTCCTAGGTATGCTCAAGCCCTAAAGTAGTTCTTCCTATAGACATTTCACAGGTTCCTTTTTACTCCGTCCAGATGTGGTCTTCAGAGCCAGTAAAATTATTGGAAAATACTTCCTTTCTAAAGTGACAGTTCTAAGGTCATTTAACCTTTACCTCTTGCTTGGTCTTACCTCTTGTTTGGTCTCTTCATTTCCAAGTTTCCTTTGGTTTTTAAAAGGAGAAATCATTACTTACCAAACCTCTCATTTAGCCAGCCAGGCTGAAGTAGCACTAAGCTTCCTATAAAAGTTTTTTTATTTTGTTTATTCTTTTTTTTTTTTTTTTTAAGAATGAGATGAAGCAAGAGTTACGAAGCTAGGCACAATCTGAGCTGGCCTCTGGAGTAAGTCCCAGTTCACTATATGCAGGCAGGAGAGGAGGAAGACAGCTCTGTAAAGGATAAACACACTCTAAAATAACAGAGAACAGAAACAGCAGTTGAGAAGCAGGGTCTGTGATAACAGGCCCCTGAGGGCAGGGACTGCATGTAGCAATCAGCCTAAGTCTGCACACATGGCAGTGGCAATCTGTCGGAAGAACCCTGCTGAAGATAGAGTGTTGCTGTGTGTACCTCCTGATCATCAGTGTTGCTGGAGCACCGAAGAAGTGTGGCCCAGCCTTTGGGGTGCAGTTGTAAGGATGTAATGCAGTTTCCACGATCTCGTTCACCAGGAACTTCAGGGGTTAAGACTTCTAGACTATTTCGTGGTGAAACTCCTAAAATACAATAAAATGAAGGTTTGAATAACATAAATACCATGCCTGGTAGAAAGTTCTTTATTTAAGAATCACAGCTATACTGGATATGGCGGCACAATACTGTAATCCCAGTACTCAGGAGGCTGGGGCAAGAGGATTGACAGGAGTTTGAGGTTTCCCTGGGCTACATAGTGAGTTTAAGGCCAGCCTGAATTACAGAGCAAGACCCTGTCTCAAAAACAAAACAAAACAAAACAAAACAAAAGAGGGGCTGGGGATTTAGCTCAGCACCATAAGCACCTGCCTTACAAGTGTGTAGTTGTGATTTCTATCTACAGTACCAAAACCCCCAAAAAACCCCAAAACAAAACACTTTTAAAAACCCCACAGTTATATGATATAGAAGGAACCTAAAAACAATAACAACTCTCATCTCAGAGAACTCAGTGTCTGTAGGCCAAAGAAGGAAATACAGGAAGCCAGGGGAATTGCCTTAAGTAAATAAAAGAATCTGATTTTGTAATCCCAAGCTCTCCTATTTGCAGAGGGGTCAAAAAACTATTATCATAAATTGAAAATTCATGTAACCTACCGAAAATTACAGTGTAGTTACACAGAATACTACAGAGCATTGGCTGTTTACCCTCATGATTGCATAGCTCAGCATTGAGAGTATCACCCTACATACTGCTAGCTTAGGAAAAGATTAAAATTCAAAGCACAGCTTCTATTGACTGCATGTCAGTTTTGTACTACTGTATAGTTGAAAATTCCTAAATTGAACCACTGTAAGTTGGGGGTTGTTTGTACCATAAACAATACACAAATCTATAATTCTGGCGATGAGAGAGGAGACCTCACATAAAGGCAGGTCAAAGTAAAGGATAGGAGGCACATCAGTCATACTCCGTGCCAGTGACTGTACAGTGCCTCAGCATTTTCTTCTGTGCCCCCAGAGGAAAAAGGCATCAGCAGTAGTTCACTGTTACTTAAAGGAGTGATATATTCCTTACATATGCAAAGAATATGTCCACAGATACTGTACGGAAGCAGCTTAGGAATTTAATATTTTTAAGCAGACACACTGTCTTATTTTAAAGATACTCTTTAGACTATATCATTGACAGAAACTCCTGAAGCTCTACATTACACTGTTACAATCATACTATACATAAATAATGTTTGCACATATGATTGAATTTTAAAAAATTTAAAGAAAAGCAATTTGCTATTTTAAGAGTTAATTTTGTAAACTTCTAAGATAAGCACAAAATAAACATTCTAATAGGTAAACGGCTGTTTGGTATTTGTACTTTTTGGAGGTTCTGTGGCTGCACACAAAAGGAAAAATCGTATAGGAGAGGAAGCTGAAAGGGGAAGGGAAGACTGCAGGATTAGTTTCACCAGTGCTACTTTTATTTTATATGCACTGTATCACTGAGAATCCACAGTAGATGTCATCCCCAAAATAAGGGTTCTGATACTGCTCTAAATACTGAAGTAGAGATGCTTCTATTTTTAAAAGGTGGCCCAAAATAACACAAAAAAAGATACTTGGCCAATACTAATCAATCCAAAAAGAAGGTCATAAATGCAGTGAGAGTTTAGATCTAGATTGATATGGAGAGACAGTAGTGGATGTGTTTAGGTACAAAGTATTTCAGTTAGGAGGCAGAAGGGACAGCGGAGCAACCAGTTCTGCTGGAATGACCAGGAGAAACTGGCAGAGGCCAATGGGGTCAGCTCACAGCTCGCCCATCTCACAGCTCCTTTGAGACTACCCCAGAGATGCACAGAGAAGACAATGGCGGAGCAAAAGGCCTTCAGAGCAAAATATCAGCAGACTTTCAGAATCACTTGATAAATTAATGCCTTGTGTTTATATAGCACTTTCACATATATTCTCATTTAATTTTCAGAACAATCTTGATTGGAATCCACATTTCCTGTTTCCTCTCCAAACCAGACCAAACTAAGTTGGGCGTGAGTAATAAAACCAAAACTCAAATTCCACCAAAGATTTAAACACAAGACAGCTTTTTGAAAATGATGGCTGAGGGATAAGAAATAGCCTCATCTGTATTGGATTTTATTTTTATGGTTTAAAAACCAAACTAAAAGAAAGTTATTTTGGTAGAATCTGTTATGACAAGATTATAAAATCCAGCTCTTCACCTACCTTCTCTTTGAGAGGCTCTTGATACGTGTTTCTCTGAAGATGAGTTAGAATCACTATGATGGCATGGTGAACCAGAAACTCTAGGACCTGATGAACTTGATGAACTGGTCAAATCTTGAAGACATAGAATTGACAGTAAGTTTAACATAACTCTGGTAGTGTTTCTTAAGTTTTACTTATCTATTTGAACTAGAATTCACCTGAACTGTGGCCACAAAGAGCTCACATAAAACTAGGCTATAAAGCAAGTGTGGTGGCACAGACCTGCGACCCCAGCACGTGGGACACTGAGGCAGGAGGATTGCTGCAAGTTTGAGAGCAGCCTGGCTTACACAGTGAGCCTCAAGGCTAGTCTGTACTGCATAGTAAGACCCTGTCTCAAAAAGACAAAACAAAACAAAATAAGTAACAACAACACAAACAAACTAGGCTATACTTAAAACGAAGGCATCAGGATAGTTCTCTGAAATGTACTTTCTAAATCTTTCATAACAAAGACTGGCTTAGTGAAATAAAAATAAGAAACCAAATAAGCACAGAAACTTTTTTAGCTTCTGACAATTTTGTACTGAAGCAGAGCAATAAAATTTAATAATAATGAAAGCTGAGCTGTTTATCTTGTTGTTTAATGCATAATTACAGGGTCCAACAAAGGTCCATGACTAGGAACACAAATTCTTTTTTTTTTTTTTTTGGCCTTTTTCCTTTTTATTGGTACCGGGATCGAACTCACAACTGCCTGCTTGCAAGGCAGGTGCTTATTGCCGCTGAGCTAAATCCCCAGCCCCCAAGAACACAAATTCTTTAGAGCACAACAAAACAACTTCTATAGTTCCTCAAATTATGTGATTACTATCTCTGAAATGCAACATAAAGCTTCACATTAAAATCTGTGGTGAAATAAGGTTAATATTAGAGAGTCAAGTTTGATGTTTTCATTATGCATTTGCAGTAGCCCCATACTTCTATAGGGAATTGTTTTATATTTTTGTAGTACAGAGGATTAAAACTGGGGCCTTCACACTGAGTATCACCATGTCTGACTAGGAATCCTTTTCAATCTAAATTTCTGTGATATTACTTAATCAGATTACCCCAAGAAGACTGAAAAGCTCTTTGGTTTTAAGAAGAACTGCACCTTCTAAATCACTATATTTTATTAAGCTAAATTTGGCTATCAATATTTAACTGAAGGGGGCTGGCGATTTAGCTCAGCGGCATAAGTGCCTGCCTTGCAAGCAGGCAGTCATGAGTTCGATCCCCGGTACTGATAAAAAGGAAAAAGACAAAAAAAAAGCAAAAAAGAAAATTAACTGAAAAAGGAAAATCTGTACCTAAAAGGTACAGATTTGCATATTTATTTATTTATTTTTGGTACTGGGGATCGAATTCACAACTGCACACTTACAAGGCAGGCACTTACCCACTGAGCTAAATCCCTGGCCCTATTTGCATACTTATAAAACCCTTGCCTTGCAAGTAAACTGGTAGAACTTAAATATCTGATTTTTAGTTATATTTGCACTTCCTCAAGAGTCTCATGTGCACCATGGAGAAAGAGTCCCATCTGTTGAAGTTCCCTTTCAATAGCACTTCATGAACAATCTGTGTTTCTGTTCAAAAAAGTAACATTATAACATTATATCTGTTATAATCCTGTTCTACAAAGATAGATGAAATATAATCATTTAAATTACATAACGTTGATAAAATATAGTACGTAAATTTTTCTGACCTCCAACTTCACTTAATGCAATTGTCTAATGCAATTAGTAATGGGAGAAGGGATACAGAATTGGCAAGAGGGTATTACAAGACAAGATGGCACGAGATACCTGCATTTGGTCATCCAGAAGTCTAGGTACAGTGTATACACTTATCACCACAATTGTAATTATCATAATTTAAAAGTTCTGCTTGGTTCCTACAGGACTTCAGAAAACTGATACTATCTTGAACTATCACTAATTTTTGAGATAGTAATGATTCAAAATGATTTTCTGGCTAGCACCAAACTAAAAGAATTTTAAGAGCAGTTATTCTTCCTAGGCCATTTGTGATACAGAGGCACAAATCCATGCTATGCCACAGATGCATATGGACCAGTACACTTCTGTGGAAAAACATTTTTAGTGAGTTTTCTAATGAATGCCTTTTACAATCATGCAGTGTACACATCCGCAATCCAAACTACTCTGGCAGCTGAGGCTGGGGACTCAAGTTTAAGGCCAGATCAAGCAGCTTAGTGAGGTCCTGTCTCAAAATAAAAAGGGCTGGGGATATATAGTGGTCCTGGGTTTGGTCCTCAGTACTGCAAAAAGAAAAAGAAGAAAACAAAACAAAACAAAAAAGGAATGCCCTTTAATTTTCAATCCTTTTCCCTGCTACCATTTTTGGAAGAGCAACACATACCATCTCCAGTGTCTCGGATGCTTTAGAAAACTTGTTTCCTAATAAAAAAAAAAAAAAAAAGAAAGAAAGAAAGAAAGAAAGAAAAGAAAAGCTTACCTGAACTTGATGTAGTTCTTCTTGCTCTCAAAATGGGATAGCTGCCTACTTCTAAAGATTTGGTTAAGTCGAGATCATGCAAAATCAAGAGATAGCCAGAAGATGTTGAGATCAACATTTTGGAACAATCTGGTGTTAATCTCATTCTCATGAGAAAACGCGTGTGAAAGAATTTCTTATGGGGACACCCATCTTCTGTACACCTACAGAGGAAATGAAATCAACAGAACCTAGTAATCATAAATATAGTGATTTAGTGATAGTAAGTTATTTTCCCTTCACAGTGGAATTTACGGCAATGTTTGTTTGTTTGTTTTTGAGACAGGGTCTCATCATGTAGGGCAGGCTGGCCTTGAGCTTTCTGGAAATCCTCCTGCCTCAGCCTCCCAAATACTAGGATTAGCAATCTATATTTAGGTTTACACACATACTTTGCAATTTTCTGTTTACTATTCTTTCATTATCGACTTTTGAGACAAGCATCTTTTTTTCTCAGGGATATTTCAGAATTTTTTAAAAGTAAAGTTCTGTTGAAGTAAATTTTATTTTTTTATTTTTCGGAAATTTTATATTTTATTCCTTTTGAATAAAGGTTTAATGGAGATTACAAGTTAGGATTGATCATTATTTCTTTCTGAATATTGATAATATTTCACTGAGTTCTAGCTTCATTATTAATAACTAAATCTGTATCAATCTATTCGTTACTTTGGATAATTTATCTTTATTACTTCTAATATTCTGTCTTTAGAGTTTTGCAGTTTTACTTTGCTATCTGTCAATGAAGATTTTTAAAAATGTTTTTGATATTCATTTGACTTTCTATGTTTTTGGGGTTTTTTGTACTGGGTATTAAGCTCAGAACCTCATGCTTGCCAGGGGCACTGTGCCCCTGAGCTATGGCCCCAGCCTTTGACTTTCTAAATCTTAAAAAAAAATCTGGAAAATTCTGTAATTATTTTAAATTGCTCTCACCTATTTTCTGTATTCTTTAGACTTCAAAAATAGATGTTTGATCCTTTAAATTTGACTCTCTTTATCTCAGAATTGCTCTTTCATGTATTGTATCTCCTTATTTCTCTGTTATATTCTGAATGACTTATTTTCTTGCTACTGGAGTTCTCTTTAAATGAAGGATTATCTAGTGAATTTTAAGTCAATAAAATGCACTAATTTAAAATGTGTTCTACAATATCTGTATCTGCACCAGTCGACAATGCAAGTTTTACCACCTGCATCAAGATACTGAACAAAAAATGTTAACATACTAATACAACTGTCTCTTAAAAGTGAAATGCCTTGTGATCCCCTTGTTTTCCCTAATAAAAATGTTGCTCTCCATTTCTATGACCTGAAGAGTTTCTGTTACCTTTAAATACTTTAAATCTTTGTTTTATATATGTGAGTATTTTGGATCAAAGATTCAATTTGGATCTTATTAACTGGAGATTAAAGTTTACAATTCACCTGTATCTTTGTCAATATCTTTTATGCAAATTTTAACACTTCCTTGGTATTTTTCTTTTGCTAATTTTTCATTTTCCACTTCTTTTCATGTGAGAAATTTGGAATGAATGTATTCTATTTTTGTCCAGAACTTGACGACAAATTGATTACTTTTTGATGCAGTAATTTGCCAATTCAGTACTTCAAACAGTTCATTTTAACCTTCACTCTCCAACCAGTACTTTGGAAATTTTCTCCTTGCTTTATGAGTATTAACTTTTTAAAAGAATTTTTTTGAGCAGGGTCTTACTATGTAGTTCAGGCTGACCTATGTAGACCAGGCTGGCCTCAAACTCATGGTGATCCTCCTGCCTCAGCCTCTTGAGTGCTGGGATTATAAGCATATGCCACTATACTCAGCTAGTGTTCACATTCTAAATCTGCTAGTTTTTTTAAAAAGGGAAATTATACTGTACCATTTTTCGATTTAGTCAAATTAACATTTAGAATGTCATTACTGTATTTGTCTTGCCCAGTGACAAAGTATTTTTATCTAATATATATTTGGCTTAACAACATACATCTTTATCTATAATTTTACACAGCAAAAATAAAACAGTATTTGTCCAATACATTGAATATTTAACAAGTACTTTGACAGTTTAAAACTATATAAACTGAGAATTTCAGAACTAGCTTATAAAGTCTATTTTACATTCAGGTTTTTATCCTGTGTGTAACGATTTTAGACTTCATGCTTCTTAACTAGTTTTAATGATTACTATCAAATCTTCCATACAATTGTGTACCTATTCTTAAATTTTTCTGTTGGCTACAATAAATCATTCAGCAAACTTTTCAGAGAAGGTTCTTGGTCGATACATTTAATCCTTTGGTATCTGAAAATGTCTTCTAGCTGCCTTCATACAACAATACTTACTGTATTTATTCTTATTTCACAATTATTTTCCTTTAAAGCTCTGAATATTGTTCACTACCTTCTGGCATTTACAAATGCAAAAGAAAAATCTAATGTCAGCCTGAATTTTGCTGCTTTCTCTGTCTAGATACTTGAAAAAAATTTCTTCTTTATCCTTGAAATTTAAGTCACTAGGGTGTATCTGGGAGTTGCATTTTCATTAAATTTTTAAGGCCCCTGTACGTTTCATTTGCTAGCCAACTTTGCTCAACTCTGTAACGTTTTTTAAAATTAATTCCTTAAGTAGTTTCCATTTTATTGCTTTGCCCTGTTTCAGGTATGCATATTATGCATACATCATGTGTCTCCAGGACAGGCCCTCTACATCTCTTTCTTTCTTCTTTTTGTATCTTAATTTCTTTGGCCTTTTCCTCCTCATTCTGTAGAATTTCTTGCTTTGCATTTACTTCAGCTGTTTTATTTTATGACCAATCCCACGTTTCTTTTAACTCCAGGGTCGAGCCATCTTTTATGTACTCAAACCTACTTTATAATTGAGTCCGCATAGTTAATAACTCTTTTCTTAGGTCCTGGGAATTGAACTCGCAACCTTGTGCTCACCAGGCAGGTGCTAACACCACTGGGCTAAATCCTCAGAGTAGTTAATAACTCTTTTCTTAGGTCCTGGGAATTGAACTCGCAACCTTGTGCTCACCAGGCAGGTGCTAACACCACTGGGCTAAATCCTCAGAGTAGTTAATAACTCTTAAGATGTTTAACATTTTCTAGATCAATTCTGGAGACAGGTACCTCCACATCAAGAGGAAGCATCTTTTTGATTACTTAACTCTCTTCCTTTCTTCTGAACTGCGGTGTTGTGACTTTTTCAAAGGCTCTTCTCAGTGAGGTCCAAACACACGGTTTCTCAAGCACAAAGCTGGAGAACATCCTGGACATGTTAGGGTGTTTTTCAAAGTTTGCTTTTCTGGTCTCTCTCTCTTAGATCGGATCCAGGAAAAGCTGCTAAGCTACAGCCAGCTCTTTATTTCCTGATTTTGACATTGGGTCTTGCTAAATTATCCAAGCTGGCCTCATACTTGCAGCCCCCCTGTCTCAGCCTGCTGAGTAACTGGGATTACAGGTTGGGCACCTTCACACCTGGCACCGTGTCTATTTTTTTTTCCTTTCTACTCTAGAAATCACAAACTATATCATATATACAAAAAATAAAATGTGTAGATTTTTGGTCTTTTTTATTTTTTTGGAAACAGGGTTTCACTATGTAATTCAGGCTATCCTTGAACTCACAGGGATCCTTCTGTCTCAGCCTCCCAAAACACTGTGTAAAGTTTAAAGAAAAGTAAACACTTGTGACGCATTACCCATGTTAAATAACACAACATTACCATTTTGGACATTTCCTTTCTTTGTTGCATTCCAAGTTTGCTTCAAGCATTAGAAGTCTTTGGTTTTTGTTTGGTTTGGTTTGGTTTGGTGGTATTGGAGACTGAACCCAAGGTCTTCCCGTTGAACTACATCCCCAGCTTTTTAGAGACAAGGTTTTGCTAAGGTGCCAAGTTGCCCAGGTAGGGTTGGATGCTCCTGTTTCAGCCTCTCAGGGATCACAGATGTGTGTTTCCAGCATGAATAGCTTTTTAAACATGTTTCTTCTGCTTATGCAGTCTCTGTTTATTCCAAAACTCTTTCCACTGTCTCTGTATTAATAATTTTTCTCAAATGTCTGTCCTTGATGGTCTGTTCATTTTAAGACTGGGGAAGTAAAGCTGACTGGGAACTTCACAGACATGTACCACCATGCCAGGCTAAATAAGGGTGAATCCATTTTTGAGGTGTTCTAGTTTATGCTCTTTCCTTCAAAATCTGTTTATTATAGTTTTTGAGTCTTCTCATATATAGACTTTATTTAGGTCTTCAGTAATCAGTAATATAATTTAAAATTTTACAAAGTTTCTCCTTAAAAGTTACACATTTTCTATTGTAATATATTTCTATGTACAACTAAATTTTTTGATTATGAAAAATTTTAAATGATTGTGATATAATCACAACAATAACTAAGCAGAACACATTTTTCTCCTACCTAATTTTTTTTACACTTTTTGTTTCTTTTTCTTTTCTTTCTTTTTTTTTTTTTTTATCAGTACGGGGGTTGAACTCACGACCGCCTGCTTGCAAGGCAGGTGCTTATGCTGCTGAGCTAAATCCCAAGCCCCCTCTCTTACCTAATTTCTAACAATCTTTCTTTAATTTTTAGCAAAGAATTGTGTATATTTATGGTACCTAAAACGATCTTTTGTGTGTGTGTTGCTAGGATGAACCTGAAGCCTTGTGTATGTTTTTTTTTTTGGTATAGGGAACCAAACTCAGGACCTTGTGCTTGCCAGATGAGTACTTGTGCCTCTGAGCTATATCCTCAGCCCAGCCTTGTGGTATGTTTAGTATGTGCTCTGCCACTAAGCTATACCCAGCCTACATGGTATATACATACGACATACACTGTTAAACTAATTAACATATGCATCACCATTCTTATTTACTTGTGATAAAACACTTAAATCTACCCTTAGAAATGTTCAAGCATACAAACCATTGTTGTTAACTGTGGTCACTATGTGTAATGCCAACCTCTTGAACTTACTTTTCCTGTTTGAAATTTTTTATCCTCTGACTCCTCTGCACCTATCTTCGCTCTGCTTCTGTGAGTCTGACTTATTTAGAGTCCACATAAAAGCAATATTCGTTATTTCATTTTAACATGTTTTCCTTGGTCCATCTGTGTTGCTCCAAATGATAACATTTACTTTTTGTTTAAAAGGC